TCTTTCTTTCTTTCTTTCTTTCTTTCTTTCTTTCTTTCTTTCTTTCTTTCTTTCTTTCTTAGTAGGATCTTCAACCTTAAACTTCAGTGATAAAGTGGCTCAAATCTCCATCTTGCATTCAAATATAGGATTTAAAAACACAGCGACACCAGTAAATACAGAACCCCAAATTTTATAGCTGAAAAAAGAGATGAGTCTCTCCTAACATCCTTGTCTGTTATGCCAGATGAGTCATATTTGAGCCATACCAAACCTGTCATCCACAAATGTGTCTATAAAATAGTAATGCTTTACAGTCACAGAGCAGATACAGCTTCAGGGTTTGAGACCAATTATTGCTTTTCCAGACGACCTCAGCTCCTAGTGCTCACATTGGAGAATCACAACCACCTGCAAGTCCAGTTCAGGTGATCCAATGCCGCCTTCTAGTCTCTGGAAGCGCACACACAGACACACACAGACACACACAGACACACGTATGTACACACACACATGCTCATAACACATACAAACACACATATACGCATATACACAACTACACACATTTGAAAAATTCTTTTAAAAATTAAAGTACCATATCTATTTCCCTGTAAACAGCAACTCTCCCCTTTCCTTAGTATTGATTTACAGATGAGGAAATTAATACGTAAGAGTCTGATCCTTAACAAAGGTTACTTTCTATCCTGTTTTTGTTGTCCCCAGAGATAATATTTCATAGGTAGATGTCTTAAATGCTACTAAATATCCTGTACTTCCTAGATGAACCTTCAAGACAAAAACATAGTATCAACCAAGATGTCCATCATGCTGAGGTCAATGGCTTAAAATGATGTAAGCCAGCCATATGGCCAGTGTGTCTTTATGAACCAGGCATAAATACCTATTCATGTTCTCCTCCCACAAGGCTAAGACTGAATACAGATGTGTCTGTTTGTTGATGATGATGTTTCAAGGGCCAGAGATGCTTCAGAAACACTGATGTTTTCCCAAGGGGGTCTGAGGTTCAGGATGGTGAAGTCCTTTTCTATCAGTACATTTCTACTGATGCTTGGCTAATATCCTGTCAGTCACCATTCCAGTATTTCTGTTTGAACTTGTAGTGAGGAGAGTCACATTTGATGGCCTTTGCGAAGATAATTAGTAAAGAGAACAGAATGAGGGCTTCCAGGAGGAGTTTCAGGAACAGCTCCTGCCAAACAGATAATCATATTCCATAAAGCAGAATCAGTAAACTTCAGGTGGGAAAATGGCCCAGTAAACACCCTCAAGCTCCTTTGGAAAACTTCAGTGTAACCGTAGTATCCCTGGTCCATGTTTCAACATGCAGACACATCTGTATTTGGTCACGTTCAAATATTGTAGTTTTAATGTGTGTACATAATGCCATGACAATATTTCTTGTCATTTGACAAAACAGAAGGCTAAAGATAGATAAATGTCCCCATTTCTCCTTAATGACTCAATTCAGATGGATGTGATACAGTTACCAATGTTTCTGGCTGCCAAACAATAGCAGAGGGTGCAGCAAAATTCCTCTTGCCTCAAACTCCGAACATCGTGTTTTCCTTATTGTAGAAGCAGGGAAAAGCACCCATGGGTCCAAACATAGGGCAAGTGTTACTGATACTCAGTCCCATGCAAATATCTCTGTAAAAATTCACTCAAATTCTGCAGCATCAAAGAACAGAAAGACTTCACCATCCTGAACCTCAGGCCCCCTTGGGGAAACATCAGTGTTACTGTAGCATCCCTAGCCCTTGAAACATCTTCATCAACATGCAGACACATCTGGATTCCGTCTCAGGCTTGTGAGAAGAGAATGTGAATAGGGGGATGTTGGACCTGTTTGTTAGATAATGGAGTGCTGGGATGGCAGTCCTTCCCTTTAAGACATGACAAGGTGGATCCGGGGAAATTATGGGACATTGCAGCATCCTGAATAAGGTGATAACATTGTAGAGCTTAGCTTAGGGAGGAAATAAAACTAAAAATAGAAATAGCTTCTAATATATGGACCCATTGTAAGACATTAGGCAATAATAGTATGCTTTGAGGTATAATCAAAATTTTTTAGTTTAGTTTTTGTCAGCTGATGGTATTCTTTTAATAGCCATAGACTCAATGAGTTACTCTCCCCAGTTTTACTGTCAAGTAAGAAGTGGCAGTCACTGGGGAACACATCCTGTTAAATTGTTTTCTTCCCCCCATGTCTTGCTGTGGTCCTCTAGGTGCTTTTAGGGATCAAGTGTGATATGATTCGGCCCCGGGTTAGCTCCTCTTGATGGAAGATGAGTAGGCTATAGTTCTCATGGGGCCGGCTTTTGTTACTCCACATGCGAGCACCCCCTGGTCCATGTGCTCCTAGATCTCTCAATGTCACTTTATATGACACCTAGAGTGTTCATCACCCCTGGAATCTTGTCTTTGTTGGAAATGAAGTGATGGGTCCTTTGGCCTCCCACCTCCTATTTCCATGTTTGCATCTCTGTCCAGTATCTTTTCAAATCATATGTTGCTCATTTGGTTGAACTTCGGTCCCTGAATCTATTGACTTTCCCAAATGCACATATTCAATGATGTTCACATTCTGTTGCAGGCTCCAGGGGAAAGCCTTAAAATCTACTTAAGCAACTGCTGTCAGTTTCATTTCTCAAAAAGCAATGAGGATCCCCAATGTCAACACCTAGCTAGGTGCAGGTGCCTTTGTCCCCCATGAGTCTTCATTATGAGAAAATGTCCTGAAAGAAAAAAAAATGACGCAAAGTACACCCTCTCTGTAGGAGATGTAGACCTTACTAGAAGGGCAGTTTTGTGTTTTCCAGTGCCCTACTTCACTTCTTTCAATCAGTGGAGATCCAGCCAGCAACTTGGCTTTCTACTCTGAAAGGTTGTCTGCTGCAGGTGGTGGTATTTCTCTTTCACCTGTTTTCCAAGAAAGCACTAAAATTCCAAGGATTTTTTGTTTTTGCTTTTTTTTTTGTCTTTAACAGTTGAGCAAACAGAGAGCCATAGGAAGCAGGAAAGCTTTCTAACAATTTCACTGTAATTTTTCTATAGGAACAAAGTCTTTTATCAAGAACATTTACTGATACCCCTAGATGCAAGCCTCATTCTTATCCTTGACGATAGGGTCTTACACTAAATCCTACATCAGTTGCTCTGTTACTAACAGACTAACCATATGTTCTATAATGGTGATACAGGTCCTTCCTATAGAATAAGATAATGCAACCACACTCTGCATACGGCTTAAATGTGATTCCTACCATTGTAGACTTAAAAACAATGCTATGATCCACTCCTGCCCACAACCAAATGACTTACAAAGATCTCACAGCAGCTTCCTATCTTGACTTCATTCCATTTCTCTTAGATGCTTTAACTTGTGTCAAACCTTACATCAAAGTTTACGTGTGTTTTCTGTATTTCTCTTTCCTTTTCAATGAGACCCTTAATTGTTACTTTCCACTTCAGGTAATGATTTCCCTCCAATATCATACTTCATTTTTTATTCAGACTGTTCAACCTTTATCTTGTCCTTCGTAGGCTTCCTTACTTTTCTCAGAATGTAAGTCTCCATCCCAGGGTAAGTTCTAATAAGGAAAAATAGTCCCTTCCTGCCAACATTCAACCGTGTTGGTTTGAAACTTCCATGTGGAAGAAGCTTTCGTCTTCTCATTGTTAATGTGAAAGAGCAGAATACCAAACAGCCTTGGCCTCAACTCTTCAGGGTCTGCCAAGAGCAGAGCTAACCCTTCTGCAACTACTTAGAAATCCTGGTCTCTTTCAGAGCCCTTGGTACCTGCCACTTGATGAGGCCATTAATTAAAAGTTCAATATAAGAAGATGATCATTGGTTAGACTCAGCTACCTACAATGAGTGCACAGAGAATTGGAGGTGTGTCTCTTCCACCAGCCTCTTCTAGGATCATAAATCTCCCCAACACAGGCACAGTACCCAGTCTCAGTTTTCCTCATCATGTCTTCAATGTTTACCACATGGTACCTTACCAACCTGCTCTCCCTCCATCATTACCCACTATGCCTATGAAGTCCCTCTTAGTTACTTGATTCTAGCCCTTTTTTTTTTTCACTTGATCTTTGTCAGTTTTACTGTTTGAGCACCTTCTCTGTGCTGCTGCTCCTGTGATGTTTTCTGGAATCTGGCTCCTCTGAGTCTTTGTGTCCCTGTCAGTCCATCATCCCCATCAGGGTTATGGCTTCCTATGTGCTATTTGAGTCTAGGCAATGAGAATGATAGTGAGCCGTGTGGGTCTCCCTTCTCCTAGGCCCACAAGGATGAAGGGAGCAGGTTTGATGGACAGGGCTTCAGAAGGCCCATGAATACAAATGGAAATGATGTCCGTCATTCCGGGATCCACTTTGAGAAGAC